TATATATATGTATACATATATGTGTAGTCATCTAGTCTTATATATGGTGGCCTGACTACTTGATCATCGTAAGACGTAGAGATCCCAGGTTTTCATGGTACGAAGCCCGCCAAAGCCCTAGTTCGCTATTCAGGCCTTTATACATAGTTCAGGCTTAGTTCGGAAGTGAACCTGGGCTGCAGTTGAAGACTCCGAGTGCACGGGGGGGGGGGGGGGGGGGGNNGGGTAACGAAATTCTTATACCTATGTTGGAGCTTCAGCCAAGCATGGTGTCTACAAACGCTATTGCGAGTCGAACAGCCGTGCTTTTCATGCGCTAAGCCCTAAACCCTAAACCTGTAACGCGATTCCCAAACCCCTGACCCCTGCACCAGTCATTCGGGCCCTTCCCGCGCCCTACACCCCAAAGACTCTGCACAAAACCAGCAGTATGACAGCCCGGTGAGCTAGGAGTCTAAAATCACCTACGACACCCGTCAACCAAGGTTCAGGGTTTGGGGTCCAAAACCCTGAGCCCCAACCCGAAACCCATACAACCCTTATAAGCCTGAACCCCGCGACAGCATTCTGGAGACAAGAGAGTCATGCGGAGAGGGTTGCTGGCAGTTGTGCTCCTGACGGCGTTGCAGGGGCAACCGAATTCTGCTGGCTTCGTGCTCGGTGGTGCAGGGAAGCCATGGCCACAGCACATGCTACTCTGCGAGGCCGGGCTGGGCATACAGCGCCAGGCTTGTTGTTGCAAACTTGGAGTCGCAGCATGTCAACACGCGGCGAGACGAAGAAAGGCATGGAGATTTCCTTTTCTGTCGAAAACGCTAACAAAGCTTGGTCTGAATGGCGAAGAGTATCTCTCTATGATGGCAGGGGGAACTTGGACAAGAGGAACTGGAACGAAAGGGGATGGGCAAGATCGCGGCGGTGTGAAAAGTGACATGGTGGAAGACAGGCTGAGGGCAATGGCGACCTGCCTCTGAGGACGGACACCAAGTCTTCATCACGCAGAGCGCAGAAGCTGCGCAGTCCATGGGCGAATGCTTGAACGGCGCCGCTACGCGAGTCGCACTACAAAACAAGCGGAGCCTACAGTGCTACATGTGGAGCGAGAACGATACAAGGGAGATCCTCAAGACGTTGAAGACTGTGAGATCCGAGTCGCATGACATGAACCGTGTCTTCAAAGACTCCGTAATCACTGACACATCTTGGAAATCGCGACCTCGCAACACAAAACTCTTCATCAGCTCTGGTCGCAAACCTTCACCTGCACCAAGCAGGCGCTACTGTCGTGCTGACCAAAGCTGTTTGGGCCAGGCAGCTCCTGAAGGACACATTCAAGCATATTGTCAGTGCTTTCCAAGGCAAGGGCGATCGTCGGTGACTTGAAGAAAGCAACTAAGAAGGAGAGTCCAAACACCGTGTCCTGCGATGCATATATCAACTGGACATTTCTACCGTCAAGGACGGCTCTTGCGAAAAGAAGTATGAAGATGCGGAGATGAACCGTGGCACTTCCAAGTCAGACTGTTATGGATTCACGATGCCATCAGCGTGAGAGCCCAGTTCGCGACGCAGGTATGTGACGATAGTGATACTGGCGGTGTTCTTTCTGGGCTTGCGGTCGAGGGTGTTCCTGATGCAGGTGATGAAGAGCATTAAGGAGCTTGACCTGAACCTGATTTTCAACGCGGTCTCCCCCGTCCTGGTGATGTCTCCTGATGAGGGAGTTCTACAAGCCGCTGGTGAGCAGTACACGTCTCACCTGAAACAAATGTTCCGGAAGTCTTACTCTAGGCAGAAGGAAAAAGGCGTTCAACAAAAGCAACGACGGAACCCTGGAGCCCTAAAGCCTTAAGCCTAAGCGCAAGCAGGTCGCTGATGTCCCGAATGCGGTGGATACTGCACTGCAGGGGGAGGCCCTGCCGAACAATTAGAGTCCTCGAGCAGGATATGGGGCTTCAGGGATCAGGGCTTGGGGTTTTGTGTTAGAATCGCGTTTGGGAGGTATAGTATATGCAAAGATGACATAAGGACTATGGGGGGGGACAGTATTTGTAGTTATTCAGAGTCAGACCTTTCAGTAATGGAGAGGCCTGAACTATTGCTGACAGGATTCCAGGAGCCTTACAGCACGGGGATTTATTAATCATCAGTGTTCCTTACTGATGAAGGCCGTGCGAGGGAAAATTGAGGCCAAATAGACCCTGAACACAACATGAAAACTCTTGCTGGAACTTTGCGAAGCCTTATCTTAACCCGCAAGACCCTCCCTTAAAGAACAGCTATAAGCACCTCAGGCAGATACTTCCATAAGAAGGCCCTCTCTCTCTCTCTCTATATATATATATATATATATAGACAACGGTAGGCTTCTGGGGGGTGAAGGTAAGCCCTGCAACACCAGATCCTTCCGTGAGTCGCCAACCTTACATAATGTAATTAATATTCAGATGTCCAGTCTGGTGCTGTCTTAGGCGTTTACGTTCCCAAGCCCTAAGACGCCAGCCCAACCCAATCCCCAAACTAAACCCCTGTACCCCTAAACCCCGCTGTCAAATCGAGGCAAAACCACAAACACAGTTGTCAGTTGTCGGTCCAGCGCATTATATGTGTCGGTGGACTTCGTAGATAACGTCATTCTTGAAAGGAAGATACATAAGACAGCGCTGCACAGCTTTGACTACATGTAGCCCCACTTACGGTACCTACTGCATAGCCGTATTGGCCGTGTCCCAAGTCCTGGAAGTACACATCCACCCGCCGCAGCCACTAGTTGTTTTTTGCCGGTAGTGTCGCTAACTTGAATCTAGCATGAACTTTTCACAACAAGAGCACTGGCAGTAGTGTTTGAGATGCGGAACTAAAGCAGCCAACACCGCACAGTGCCGGACGGCAACAACGGCTCAAAAACAAAACAACAAGACACTCGTTGACCATGTTGTGTTCGAGACCCTGGCATTCTCAGGCCAAGCAGCCTATGTGCAACCTGTTCGCGATGTGCGGTGCGTGAGCTAGTGGAGATATCTGGCAATACTCGGTTCCCTGAATTCCATACTGTGCGTGCTCAAATCTTCAACGAATCTCTCGACCCCGAAACCTGATTCATTTATCCGGAGTTGGTGCGAACACCCTTCAGATTTTCCGTGATCTCTCTTCCACAAACCCTTCTCATTGCAAGTCCATCGAGATCGAGATTCGGATAGAGCAGGATTAGGAATCACTGACGCACTAAACGCCAATGCCTCACTGTAATGGGAGCCCCTTGTGCCGAGAATCTCCTCGTAGCTTCGGTACAGGCGTGTGTCGTGGGCGGCGGTGCATGCAAACTAGGGAATTTCAAAGGTTAGTTTAAGGGTTAAGGGTCTCAACTTGCTTGTACTGCGAGAAGTACTATGGTTTCACCTATCCGTAAGTATATACTTGATCCGTCAAGGGTTTGTACAGAGGTACTTCAGGGCCTAAGTATCAAAACCCTAAACCCAAATTTC